TGTGCTTTCTTAGTGACATGGCAATTCCTTCAGATTGTAATTTATCTTTGAAAATTTTAAAAAAACTATCAAAATACGAGAATCTTGAAGTGGAAATCTAAAAAAAAGTGGCACATCAATAATTTCAGTTGTAGTTGGAGCCCTCGGATTGATTGGAAAAAGGTTCCGGTAGAGTCATTGAAAGGATTCTTGGTAGTCAAGAAATAAAAAAAAGATTGTTCTGACAAATACAGCCCACACTATAAGAAGGGCTTTATCTATGCAAAATGTGTGTAATCTTTAGTTTGTTTTTGCTTTGTTTTGTTTTTTATATAAAATATTAGTGGAATATGACGTGAAGCTATTTCTCAACTTAGGTCTTTGATTTGGACCCGGAAGGAAATATGTATACAACAGAAATCCAAGGAAATAATAATAATAATAATAATAATAATAATAATAATAATAATAATTGTCATGGTAATCACTGCAGATTGTAATGTATCTTTGAAGATCTTCAAAAACTATTAAAATACAAGGATCTTGAAGTGAAAATCTAAAATTATGGTACTTGAGTACATCAACCACTCTGGTTTTAGTTGGAGCCTGATAGATTCATTGAAGGGATTTCTGGTAGCCCATGCCTTAAAGAAATACAAAAATTGTACTCACATGTACAACTCACACATTAAGAAAAGATTTATCTATGTAAAATATGTATGATTATTATTATTTTTTTTTGTTTTACGAAAATAATCTGTGGAATATGTTGTGAAGCCATTTCCGACCTTAGTTCGCTGGTTGGAACCCAGGAGAAAATGTGTATACAACAGAAATCAAAGGAAATAATAATAATAATAATAATAATAATAATAATAATAATAATAATAATAATAATAATAAAGACCACAAACAAAAACAGTGCCTCCTTATTGATATGGCAGTGCCTGCAGACTGCAATGTATCTTTGAAGATATTCAAAAAGCTGTGAAAATACAAGGACCTTGAAATAGAAATCTCGAAAATGTGGCATATGGGAACATCAATAATCCCTGTTGTAGTTGGAGCCTTAGGAATGGTTGGAAAAGCTTCCAGTAGACTAGTTGAAGGGATTCCTGGAACTCCATGCCTCAAAAAGATACAAAAAATTGTTCTGACAAGTACAGCCTACACTTTACGAAGGGCTTTATCTATGCATTTTTTTTTCTTCAGTGAAAATTGTCATGATGCCAATTCTAACCTTAGGTCCCTGGGCGGGACCCGAAAAGAAATGTGTAAACGCCAGAAATCAAAGGAAATAAAAATAAAAATAATAACAATAATAATAATATTTAAGTGTTGAAAATAGTTGAGGAGTTACGTCAATCATTTTGTTTAATAATAATAATATTTTTTAATACTTAAATGCGTGGTAGTGTGCATTTTTTTTTATCGTTACAATTTTCTTTGATGCGTGTGAAACGAATAGAAAAAATTGAAAAATGAATGAATAATTATGAATTCGAAGTTTTAGAATCCCTGTCCGGTAGCTTTTCAGTCATAATGCGAATTCAGAATGAAAATGTACTAAGAAGTAATTTCAATTAAGGTAATTTCATTTTCAATCAAAATAATTTTCCAACGAAATTGATATTACAAGGAACAAGTACATTTTTGTCAATGCTATTTTGGTCTTGTATCTTATCTGAAATTATTTCAATATCCGGGTCATAAGTTGTATCATTTATTTGTATCAACGATTGCAAGCATCGGCCAGATAAATGTACGTAATACTTTTAAATGATAAAATCCATTTGCCAAAAATTGGTTCACATAGGTAAGTTGATCCGAAAATCGAGTTACTGGAAGAAGAATTTTGAATTTTTTTTTATTTTATACTTATCCAGGATTGAATCCAAGCATCATATATCAGTCCGTCTGACTTTAGAATCGTCTAAAATTCGGTCCTCCCTACAAATATTCTTGGAGTATATTTAGAGATTCTCCAAAGAAGAATCAGCAATATTATTTGTCGTCACTGGCATCTCGGCTTCAGTTACTTTCTTTCCGTCGTAATGTAGCTTTCTTGTGCTTTTACTATAAATACTTTCATATTAATTGTTGAGATGAACGCTTTGCTATTGTACACATCAATCCGAGTGCTCCAACTACAACTGGAATTATTGATGTCTGCACGTGCCACATTTTTTGAGATTTCCACTTCAAGATCCTTGTATTTTGATAGTTTCAAAGATAAATTACAATCTGAAGGAATTGCCATGTCAATAAGAAAGCACATTCTGTTTTTGTGGTCTTTAATCACAAAGTCTGGGTAATTAGCTATGCATTTTCTGTATGTATTGTAAAGTTCCATAAAACTGTTACAGGGTCTGTGCGGTGTCTGTAAGCGGGTCTGGGTGAGGTTCATACCAGTTTAATGCAGAGTGGAATAAAAAAGAATTTCAATATTATTAGGATCTCCGAGGATACTGAGGAAGGTGCTGGGAATTTGAAGAGACAATGCCATACAGTCTCCAGCCATAACTGTAAAACATTTAGTATAAACACGCGCACGTATAAAACATACTATTTACAATAATAATAAACTCTAAATATTTATATGAATGATAACATTGCGTCTCTCTGTACTTGAAGATGCGTCGACAAAGATGTATATACAAAACTTTAGTAAGCTTAAAAGCATAAAATCCTGTCGGAGACTGGGATGTTTGTCGATGGTCATTAACGGAACAGTGAACAGAAACGGGTATTATAAATTTAAGCGTAGTACTAGATTGTAGACAAGGTCTTATCAATTCACAATTAAATTGGCTAGATGTAACCGAAAGTCTTATGCTATCAGTTTATTCTCTTGCACTTTTCCCTTATGGAACAATCTTCTGCCTCCAGACTTTCCAGCCAACTTTGATCTTCAGAAATTTAAATGCAATATCAATCGTGATCTACTGTATTCTTGATTACTCTTCTATTGTTCGCGCTCCTTAATAATGTTTCTTTTCTTTTCTTTTTTTTCTTATTCTTTCCTATTCAGTAACTCCTTGTGCCTTAGTGGCTTTACTACTTTGGCTGGCAACCACTCCAGGTGAAGGACAACCCTAAATTCAAAAAACGTATTTAGCTCTGGTGAATCATATTTAATTAATGAAAAAATCGTGGAGTTTATAATGACTATGATCCTGACAACGTTGTTTCTCTGAAGTTACTGGGATTATTTTTTTAGTTTTTTTTCTTTTAAATATTTGTTTTCGAGTGGATGCAATTACACAGTTTTCACTTTATGATATTTAAAAATATTTGAGAAAATAGCTCTGCCGTAACCCTTCAGCAATTGGGAGATCGTGGTTCGCCACAAACTCCTATCCTTTGTAGTCTTTTGTAATTTTTCTCCTTTCCCCAACACGTCCATTTCTTGTTCTGCTATCCATTTACACAAGCTCTTTAGGTAGGTTACTCGCTGTTTCCTTCTGCATCTATTAACTTCAGTATGCCCTGCGAGTGCTAAATTCTCCAAGCCCACTTTCCTCGTTATATGTCCTATAAATTTCAACTTTCTCACGTGGTGTCTTTTTTCTTTCCATTTTCTCTAAAACGTCTGTCTTGCTCACATGTTTAATCCACGGTTTTATGATGTCAACGAACACTCGTTGCCACTTTTGTAATGTCAACAAATACTCGTTGTCACTTTCGTAATGCTCGTTGTAGTAGAGACTTTGTAATCGCAGATACAACTATAGTAACGCCGTTGAACATTACTGGTGTCATACGCCTTCGAATATCATTCGCACTAATAGTAGTTGCTCGATAATACTCACTCGAAAAGTGACCATCGAATAGTGATCCGAATAATAATCCGTATAGTGAGATATTCACCTACCGCCCTCACGCGGTCGGATGCGGCACAAGCACAAGTTTATTGAGGGGCATCCAAGCCCGTAGGCTCGGGCAAATTTCACAGTAGACCCCGTAAAAACGGTCTACCACCCCAGACGAAATTCTGCCCTTCGGCAAAGCCTCGTTTGGGTTCCTCTCTGTCCGGAGGCAGAGAGTTCGACAAGCATGGCTCCGGTGAGTGATCACTTATACGCCACGCTAATTCCCATATATTCGTTTCCTTTAACATCACGTGATCTACATATTCAAAATGGGATCGCCTGTGTTTGCTCTCTGGTGATCTGTGTTCAAACTCCAGTGTCGGCAACGATATTTTATTCCTATATAACACACGGTATTTTCAGCATCCTTCTGTAGAACCACATCTATGTTGCCTAAAGTCTTCTCTTCATCTCTGACGCGATTGTATAGCTTTTTTATATTGCATAACATTTCAGCAATCTTTTCTTTTTTTTTAAAATCAATTCATTCCAAGCACGGCGATAATGCCACTAAGACACAATACTGAGCGTGAAAGTGAATGAAAATGCATTAAAAGGAACCCAAAACCCAATCCTAAACTCTTTTTTCTTTGTTTCTAATTATTTTTCCTGTCTTTGCCTTTTGATGCCATCTTGTTATTTAACCCGTAGCTGGAGGGAGAAGAAATGTATTTATGCCTCTTTCAGTGGTATCGGTATGAGTGCAACAGAAAATACCGGAATGTTAATCATTAATCATTGCGCACTATGTATATATAACACTACTATCAATCTCTGACGAAGCTTTAATGAAAAGTGAAACGTGTTAGATTGAAAAATGTTTCCTGTTTGTTCATTATCTTATCATAGTACAACCAGAAAATCATCTACGTGGAGGCGTCTACATAATAGTTATCAAATCTAAAAAAAATGTTTGTATAAATAGAGAGAGAGAGGGGGGTTAAGGAGGGAGAGACAGTAATTAAGAGAGAGAGAGAGAGACAAAAATAGGAAATGAAGATAGAGAGAAACAAAAAATTAGAGAGAGAAACAGAAAATAAGAGAGCGAGAGAGACAGAAAATAAGAGAGGGAGAGAGAAAATAAGACGGAAAGACAGAAAGAAAATAAGAGTGAGACACAACCAGACAGAAATTAAGAGAGAGACTGACAGACATAAAATGAGACACTGAGAGAGACAGAATATAACAGAGAGAGAGAGAGAGAGAGAGAGAGAGAGAGAAAGAGACAAAAAGACAGAAAAATAAGAGACAGACAGAAAATAAGAGAGAGACTGACAGACATAAAATGAGACACTGAGAGAGACAGAATATAACAGAGAGAGAGAGAGAGAGAGAGAGAGAGAGAGAGAGAAAGAGACAAAAAGACAGAAAAATAAGAGACAGACAGAAAATAAGAGAGAGACTGACAGACATAAAATGAGACACTGAGAGAGACAGAATATAACAGAGAGAGAGAGAGAGAGAGAGAGAGAGAGAGAGAGAGAGAGAGAAAGAGACAAAAAGACAGAAAATAAGAGACAGACAGAAAAAATAAGAGAGAGACTGACAGACATAAAATGAGACACTGAGAGAGACAGAATATAACAGAGAGAGAGAGAGAGAGAGAAAGAGACAAAAAGACAGAAAAATAAGAGACAGACAGAAAATAAGAGAGAGACTGACAGACATAAAATGAGACACTGAGAGAGAGACAGAATATAACAGAGAGAGAGAGAGAGAGAGAGAGAGAGAGAGAGAGAAAGAGACAAAAAGACAGAAAAATAAGAGACAGACAGAAAATAAGAGAGAGACTGACAGACATAAAATGAGACACTGAGAGAGACAGAATATAACAGAGAGAGAGAGAGAGAGAGAGAAAGAGACAAAAAGACAGAAAAATAATAAGAGAGTGAGAGAGACAGAAAATAAGAGAATAAGAGAGAGACAGAAAATATAGTGAGAGAGACAGAAAATACGAGAGAGAGAGAGAGATAAAAATTAAGAGAAAGGGGCGGAGAATAAGAGAGCGAGACTAGAAATATCGGAGAGACAGACAGACAGACAGAAAAGAGAGTGACAGATAGACAGAAAGTAAAAGAGTGAGATAGAGAGAAACAGACAATAAGAGAAAGGCACAGAAAATAAGAGAGGGAGAGAGACAGAAAATAAGAAAGTGAAAAAGACAGACAACAAATAAGAGACAGACAGAAAGGCAGAGAATAAGAAAGAGAGAGAGAATATAAGAGAGCGAGACCGGAAATAACAGAGAGAGAAGGGGGAGAGAAGAGAGAGAGAGAGAGAGAGAGAGGGAGGGGGGAACAGAAAATAATAGACAGACAGAAAGGCAGAGAATAAGAGAGAGAGAGTGAGACAGAAAATAGGAAATCGAGAGAAACAGTAAATAAGAGCGAGACAGAAGAGAGCGAGACCGGAAATAACAGAGAGAGAGAGAGAGGGGGGTGAAAGAGAGAAAAGAGAGAGAGAGAGAAAAGAGAGAGAGAGAAAAGAGAGAGAGAGACAGAAAATAAAATAGTGTGTGCGTGTGTGTGTGTGAGAGAGAGTGAGAGGGAGACAGAAAATAAGAGAGAGAGAGACAGGAAATAAGAAAGGGAGAGTGAGAAAGAGACAGCAAATAAGAAAGAGAGAGCAAGGGAGATAATTTGATAGATTAGATAAGTTTCGTTGGGCTTGGTATTTTCGTCCCGCCACAAATAAATAGACGAATAAACAAACTTAAAATGAAAAATTAAGAAAAAAAATTAAACTCATCATTCCTGTAGTAAATTTGCGTCAGAAACTCTCACGATAGATTAGAAAAGTAATTAAAGTCACGTGTTGGATCCTAGCATTTTCCTAATTTTGATGTTCTTTTTATTTTTCGTTAGTGCTTGCTTTCTTTCTTTCTTCTTTTTTTTTCTTTCTTTCTTTCTTTCTCGTCTTTTTTTAAAAATCACTTTCGAAGCTGAGAAGAGTGTGGAAGTAACGACTGCTAAAAACCACCTGAAACCTGAAGTCTCGATAAGATATACGCAGAAAGTGAGGGGCAAAAAGACCTTAAAGAAAATGGGTTGTTCACAAATAGAAATTTAAATAAAGACAGACAGTGGTCTAAAGACGGACTGACGCATACTTGATTACTTAGTTTCATATAAATATTTGCTAAGTTTAGCTTTCGACGGCATGAAACCAAATCAAAAGAAGATAGTGGCGGTGGTAAAATCCTACCTCGAATTCTCAGCGTGAACACCAACTGAATTATGGGAGTTAATTTCTATTCTTCGTACAACATTTACGCGAGGGTACACACACACACACACACACACACACACACACATTGATTGTGAAAAACAGGAAGGTTTTACATTAAACAGACTAATAGACAAACATACATATATATATTTTAACGAAGACAAATAATTAATGAAAACTGATAAAAACACTTATTATGCAAAAACTAACAAAATATAGAAATAGATAGATAGACATATAGATAGATAGATAGATAAATAGATAGATAGATATCAATAACCAGATAGATAGATAGATAGATAGATAGATAGATAGATAGATAGATAGATAAGGAAAAGATTGCAATAACTTGATAGATAGATAGATAGATAGATAGATAGATAGATAGATAGATAGATAGATAGATAGATAGATATTGAAGAAATTCTGGTAGATAGTTGATAGAAAGAAAGAAAAGGTAAACTATCACATATATATAATAATAGCTAGTCACTCGTATTCGAGGATACCCGTCTATTAGGGCGGTTAGGCAATCCCTATTGCAGACTTTCCCTCAGGCACATTTTGTGTTTGTTCAACACCCACGGAGCCAAACTGTGGTTTATGTTGCAACTATGTTGAGCAGACCTTAGTTACAGTTTCTAGAAGCGTGTTATATAGAATGATCAACAATCTGAACAACGCCGGCACACTCAAACCCTCGGTCACGATGACTTGTGACCTTGCTAGCACAGCTATCGAAGGTGCCATATGTTCCGTTTACCCAATTCCACTCACAAGTGTTGTGTCAACACGTAGTATGGCTTTCAGGCACTTTCCAAAGCAGCAACGCGCTGGGATAGTCATATATACCTACCTACCTACCTAACCCCCCACCCCCACACATATATATATATATTCTCAAGAACAAAAAAAAATGCATAAATTCAATTTCATCATATGTTTAGGTTGTATTACAATTCCATTCATCGCTTTATAAAAGAATAAATATTGCCGAAGAGTGAAGTTAGTTAAAATCCGTCCTTATGACAATCCGTTTTTTTTCTGGCATGAAGAACCATGTTTGCAAAACATAATATATTATCGTATGCAAATGAGATAGACAAGTATAAATAGAGAACAACTGGTGAACATAAGTGCATTGCTTAGCAAACCCGCTTGCTAAACGTAATGCAGAGAACTGTGCTACGATTACTACTTCACATAGAGATATAACAAATATAACAATGGCGTCGCCGATAGGATCCTTAAATTCGCTGGACGACCCAGAGCACATAGAAACATGGATTAAAAAGTTTTAAGAGACACAAAGACCGACGGTGGGGGGAGTACGAAATAACGGATATATTTCTTGCTGCCGCTTGGTGCGAAGCTATGAAGAAAATGAAGAGAGACCGAGATCACCATTAAAGAGAAAACAAGAAAGACAAGAGGATGGACAGCACAGTACGAGAATAATCAGGAATAGTAAAACAAAAAAAAAAACAAGGGTATACGACATCTCCGATTCGGGGAGATGTAGTATCGTATGCAAATGAGAGGGACAAGTATAAATAGAGAACAACTGGTGGAGATGAGGGTATTGCTTAGCAAATCCGTTTTCTAAACATAACGCGGAGAATTGTGCTACAACTGCTACTACACAGAGAGATATACCAATCATAACACATATTACAGACGCTGTTTGGGTTTAATAAGGATAAGAAAGAAAGAGACGATAGGGGAGGCGATAACACTCTCATTGTATTTAACGTTTGCTTCAGTGAAATAGAAAATCTTTTCAATTTTAAATCTTTTCATTTGTACCCTCTTACTTATTTAAATAATGACCTGCAACTCATCTGACGAGTTTTTGTTATTCCTGGTGCCTGAATTTTAAGCTATTAAAATTTAAATGCAATCGCCATCTTGTATCTTCTTGAATACCGCTCATCTTTTATCCTTTCCTCAATCCTCCCCATACACAGTTTTTCTCTCACTTTCACTCTCTGTCACCCCTGCGTACTAGTGGCATTCCGGCCTTGATAGGTGTGAAATAACTTTCAATGCTGATATTGAACTACCATGTATTGATGTTTTTTTTTTGTACTCATTGGGTGCGTGTATTAAGTATACTGAGATAAGGTGATCGACAGTTTTAATATATTGGTCACAGAACCTACATTGTGGATCCGTACTATTACGAAAGGTAGTAGCTTGGTAGATGCGTGTAAGCAGGCTCTGGTCTTGTGCACCAAGAATAAACCCTTTAGTCTCACCCTTAAGTCCTGAATTCCTTAGCCACTGATCGTTTACGAATTGATCGACGTTAGCATTTATTATTAGTATTATTATTGTCCATGTTGTTGTTTTTGTTGTTGCTGCTGCTGCTGATGATGATGATGATGAGTATGATGATTTAGTTCGCCTGCTGAAGCGGTTTACAGAGTTTGGGGTGTGGAGATTTAGGGGATGGGTGAAGATCAGTGTTACCCGTCCACTTAATAATATGTTGCAGCATATATATATATATATATATATATATATATATATATATATATATATATATATATATATATATATATATATATATATATTATTACACTGATATCGGAGTAAACAGATCGTCATCAATGTGCAATATGTTGCTATTTATAAAAAAAAATATTATTATTGTTGTTATTATTATTATTATTATTATTATTATTATTATTATTGTCCATGTTGTTGTTTTTGTTGTTGTTGCTGCTGCTGCTGATGATGATGATGAGTATGATGATTTAGTTCGCCTGCTGAAGCGGTTTACAGAGTTTGGGGTGTGGAGATTTAGGGGATGGGTGAAGATCAGTGTTACCCGTCCACTTAATAATATGTTGCAGCATATATATATATATATATATATATATATATATATATATATATATATATATATATATATTACACTGGATATCGGAGTAAACAGATCGTCATCAATGTGCAATATGTTGCTATTTATAAAAAATATTATTATTGTTGTTATTATTATTATTATTATTATTATTATTATTATTATTATTGTCCATGTTGTTGTTCTTGTTGTTGCTGCTGCTGTTGACGATAATGATGATGATGATGAATTAATTTTTTTTTTTTTTTTGAAGAGATTCGATTATGTTCACTTAAATTTTTCCCTCTACCCAAATATAACCCCCAAAATATTTACCTGGAAAACAGCCGCTTCAATGCCACAAAAACTGGTGAATATTCATAAATGAAAATACTCACCAGACAACTCAGTTTAAAGTTTTATTTCCTTTTCATCAATTTATTTTTAATATCTGCAGATAGAAATGAAACGCCTTTATTTGTAAAACTGCAACAGAATGGTAAACACAACAAAATTTAGATTGATTTTAAAATATTTTATTCCATCAGGAAGCAACAAAGCTTTCAGAATACTATGAAAGTTTCATAGTATCACATTCTGATAGTATAAGAACAATTTTATACAATATTTTAGATCGTTTATGTCAATTTTCCGTTTGACGATATTTTCTGCAAAGTGCTATAGCTTGCTTAGTATGACAAGACTAAATCAAATATCTAAAAAATGTCTAAAATGTGCAGATCTTAAGGTGTGGCGTTTATTGTAATACAAGTTCGCATGCATCGATCAGATAGAAAATGGCCGTTTGCCTGGCCTTTTAATCGTTTGAAATGCTATCCTTTTTTGACTTCTGACGGTAGACGCCGTCGCGTGCCTTTCGTATATTTTCAGTTTTGACGCCTACAGTTACTTATCAGTTGTATCCGCTTTTTACATCTGACTAATATTTGAGAATATATTTAAAATATTTCAGTAACAAATAGTGCTACAGTACTTTCTCGATTATCTGTACCTCGATTTTCCGGACTTCAAATGAAAAGAAAATCTGTAATCATTCCAACATTTTTCCGTTATACGGACAAAGCCCATCCTGATATTTCATCCCTGACAAACGTTTCGAGAATTTAGTAAAACATGGTCGACATCTGATAAAAACATAGGACTTACTGCAACAGTAGCAATTCAAATGGATAGCACGTGTTACTCGAAGAGAAAATAATGACATGATCAAGATGTTGATATTCCACACTACTTCAAACAAAAGGTTAGGAAGGAAACTTCCCATCAATACTGGAAAGAGTGATAACAGCTACTGGGCTTGAGAAGAGAAAATAATGACATAATCAAGATGTTGATATTCCACACTACTTCAAACCAAATGTTAGGAAGGAAATCTCCATCAATAGTGGAAAGAGCGATAACAGCTACTGTGCTTGAGAAGAGAAAATAATGAGATAATCAAGATTTTGACATTCCACACTACTTCAAACAAAAGGTTAGGAAGGAAATCCCCATCAGTACTGTAAAGAGAGAAAACTCTTGGTGTACTTGGGGAAGTTATTTTCCTTAAAAATTATATTATTATAAAGATTTTATAAATTTGAGATGAAATTAGCAATGGTTCGTTCTGTCAATGAAGTCGAATATTTCCTTCTAAGGAAACAACTAATATTACAATTAAAGATGACGAGAACTGATACGAGACTTCGATCGGGGGCTGACGGGCGTAGAGTAAAATAACGCGTAACTCAAATAACACTAGCTGCTCCGTCAGCAAATACCGTATGTTTCCTTATAAGGAAACGGCTAGTATTATCACTACCGTGTGCACCCGTATGTTTTTAGCATTTCTTCCAAGTATTTTGTTTCCTTTCCAGAACTTCACGACAGCTTTTCAGTATTTGACAAAAACGGAGACGGTGTGATTACGACAGAAGAAATTGGCACAGTGATGACGTCACTAGGTCAGCGACCAACCAGAGACGAGTTACGGGCATTGATGCATTCAGTCGACGGAAACCGTAAGTATAGGAATGGTATGAATGTCTGCCGGCATGACTGCTTCCCTTTAGACTTAAAGTAAACAGTATTCTTTATAAAGTCAATATGCTTGTCTCCGTTGGTAGTTGCATAATTAAAGAAAAAAAATCATTAATTTGATTAAAAACAGTGCAAAGAAGCTTAAATTCAAATCAAGGAGAACAAGCCGATGATGTTGATGACGTTTACAACGTAGTAGCAAGTTGAGGCCTTAAAAAAAGGGCAATTTATAGAATAATTTTTTTGTGTCAAATCATTTGATGTTCGAAAGGTAATTCATCATTTCTAGTGCTGTATTGCCTTTTGCTTTTTTAAAGAATTTAGAAAATATTCGTAGTTGATTTGTTTTTTATATAAAAAAAACTGCCAATTTTTCACTTCCTGTACGCATTTTCAACTACTTTTATTTCATCCTCGGAAAGCCTTCCTCTGAGTAAATTCCAAACATTTTCCGTATGTGCTCAAATGTTGGTGAGCTGATGACAGATTTCGCAAAGACGGCATCCAAGAGATTTTTTCTCGGTTTCTTTTCCTTGATTTGAATTCTTAAGCGTTTCTCGTTTCTTTACAGTTTTTACTCAAATTATGAAGTGATCAAGACTGGCAAATGCTAGTCAAAATATTTCCATAAAAATAAATCATTCGTTGGAACTACAAGTTTTTTCTTTTAATTAAGTATTCTTTACACCTGGAGTAACAAGACGAATTTCTTTTGTAAATATATTTGAATGCAAATTTGTATACAAACTAATTACATTGATATTTAAAATTACGTTAGTAAAAAAAATGATTGATTAAATATTTTATCAGTTTGATAAGGTCAAAATGGCAGCTGATATCCAAAACGACCTTCAATTTGTTGTTAACTGGGGCAAAGGATGAATTGTTAATTTTAACGCCTCCCAAACTAAAATCATCTCTGTTAATCGTCTGAGAGACTATTTTCTGCCTTCCATCAGTATGACTGATGCTGACCTCCATGTAAGTGATTCGATACGTTTTCTCGGGTTAATGTTCTCTTCTGACATGAAGTGGAAAGATTATATTGAATCCATTGCTAGGTCAGCTGCTTGAAAGTTGGTTCACTGCGTCTTGCTAGACATTTTTTTCTCCAGAATCTAGCTTACATATCTATATAAGTTTACCATTCGTCCACGCTTATAATATTGCTGCCGCATATGGTCCTGGGCTCCAGCTGTCTATCTAGAACTCCTTGAGGAAATTTAAAGAAGAATCAGGAATATTTTTGGACCTGTTCTGGCGTCGCGGCTTCACTTACTTTCACGCCGCCGTAAGTTAGCCTCCCTGTGTCTTTTCTATAAATACTTTCATCGTAATTGTTCGGATTTGTTGTTTTATTCTCCTTTCCGCCCCACGGACAGTGAATTGTACATATGGGGACTAATTAAGACTTTCGTAGAGACATGAGGTATTATGGTGAATGTACTAGGTAAGAAAGAATGCGTTGTTGTGGTGTAAGGAATATTGTTGTACATTTGGGTCGATGTTTGTGGCTAGCTAAGTTTAACGTTAAGACGGAAGAAGACTGTCTTTTTCCCCATTCCCCATTTTGGTCTTGTGTCAAATTTCTGTACATAGCAGAATAAATACCGCTCTTCGCTATGGTACCTAGTATGTTTGACTTTAAGCACAGTACTAAACTGGCGACGAGATCTCATCAGTTTGCAAATGTGTTGGCTAGATTTAACCGTAAATTATATCATTTTCTCGCACTTCTCGCTTACGGGACTCTCTTCCGTCTCCATACTTTCCAGCCAACTTTAATCTGCAAAAATTTAAGCGAAATGTCAAGGAACAGACATTGGCCTATCTAATCAATTAACTCACCGGAAATGATATGGGAAAAAAGGAAAAAGAGAAAAGGAGTTGACCGGTTAATTGGTCAATGCCTGATCCTGTCAAAAGTGTAAATTTTAAATACATTTTTTCACCATTGAAAGTGAAGTCTGAATCTCCAGAGAAAAATAAAATCTCTGGTGAAATAAATTATAACGCTGGAATCTTAAAGTGGTCTGTTTTTATTTTTAAATTAAATATATATATATATATATATATATATATATATATATATATATATATATATATATATAATAAAAAAGGCTTAAACACTAATATTCCATGGTCATAATTTATTCCATTGGAATCGTAAATACAACTCCGGAAATAAAAAATAGAATTTAGAGAGATTCTAAGTATTTAGCTCTAACTTTCGTCCCACACTCTCATACTTACACTCTCTCTAAATTTTATTTTTTATTTCCGAAGTTGTTTTTTCTGTTTTCTTTTTGAATTTTAGGTCTGATGAATTGGATCGTATTTACGATTCTAATGGAATAAATTATGACCATGGAATATTAGTGTTTAAGCCTTTTTATTATATCCTTACTGTGTCCTGGACATTGAGTTCTACCTGGATTCTATCCTCTTGAAATTTTTTTTATTCAAAAAAATATATATGTGTATGCATGTATGTATATATATTTATATATTTTGCATATGTATGTGTATATTTACCACTAATATTATCTATCTATCTATCTATCTGTCTATCTATCTATCTATCTATCTATCTATCTATCTATCTATATATATATATATATATATATATATATATATATATATATATATTTTGAATAAAAAGACAGACCACGTTAAGATTCCATGTAATAAGTTATTTCACCATAACCCCTTTAACAGGGTTCTGGATCATCAGACTTTACTTCCAAAAGCTGAAATGAAAAATGAAAAGAAATTCACACGTTTTTTACGGACCTCATCAAGTATACGCAAAGTTAACGAAGTGAGAAAGTGAGGTGGGAGAGAGGATATGAGTGTGTCAAATATATAGATATATTAATCATATTATATATATATATATATATATATATATATATATATATATATATATATATATATATACATATGAGAATAAATTAATACACACATATCTATATATGTGTATTGTATGCAAATATAGTATGAGACAATTATATAAAGAAAAATATAGATAGATAAAGATACTGACATATATATATATATATATATATATATATATATATATATATATATATATAGAGAGAGAGAGAGAGAGAGAGAAGGTAGAGAATTTAAAATTTATGTTTTTTTTTTCTTCAGATAGTGGTACCATTGAATTTGAAGAATTTCTTGAGATCTTCGCCCGTAAATTGAACATTGACCCCGAAAAAGAATTGCACGAGGTATTTAGCGTCTTCGACCAAAATAAAGATGGATTTATCTCCCCTCCCGAGTTATTTACAGTGCTGACAAAATTAGGCGAACTTATTACACAGGTAAGTAAACAATAAGTAAATAACTTTGAACCTTTTTATTTTTAAACATTCTGGAGAAATTGAGATAAAGAGACAGTGGGACAGACAAGAAACTGATAATTTATTTCAACTGACGCAATTGGGATGTCTGATACTTTAAAGCAAGAGATTCATATTGTTTGTTTTTTTTTTATTTCAACCCATTCCGAAAAATTGATAAGGATTTACCTTAAATTCGTTTTAGAAAAGGCTATATGAATCTTTTTTTTTTCCAGTCATTCTGAAATTCAGATGAGGATTTACCTTAAATTTATTTCAGAAAAGCTGGGAGAAAATATATAACTTTCGACATCTAAACTAAGTATTATAAGGAAAAGATTCAGAATAAATATTTACAACTTCTTTAAAAGTCATTAATTTTCTTTCTTTTCTTCACGTGAAACGCCAGCTTTGCTGGAAAAGTACCAACAATCTATTATTTAATCATACACATATAAACACCCATATTTCATTTTTTGGGATCGCATGAGGCCTAGAAAGGCGAAACACGTAATCAAATCTAGTTTCAATGACACGGTTTTCCATTTGCCATATATATATATATATATATATATATATATATATATATATATATATCTGTGTGTGCGTGTGTGTGTATATATATATATATATATATATATATATATATATATATATATATATATATATATATATATATATATATATATATATATATATATATATAATTTTCGATTTACAATCTTACAATAGATGTTTCTCCTCGCCCTTCCGACTCTTGTTTTAATATATTCTATATATTATATATTAATATGTACTTTTTAATGAGTCCGTTTTCAAATCTTTTATAAAATATTTCTACTACCTAAAAATTATTGAAGTACATTTTATTCTGGTTTGAAGTGAACTCAAACCCAAGTCGACACCATGGCATAACATCTTGAAGATAATTCAGGAGATTCTGTTGTTGCAGAAAAATGTTTCACTCATAAAGATGGAACAATAAAAAAAATAATTCACGAACCAAAAGTCATTGGAAATTAAATTTTTCATTTTTAATTGAGTTCCCTCCAAGCAAGTCAGTAAAGCCACTAAGACAAAGGGTATTGCTGAATGTGCCGGAATAAGAAAAAAGAGAGACATTATGAAGGTGCGAGAAGACTAGAAGAGTAATCAAGAAGACAGTAGATAACGATTGACGTTGCATTTAATTTTTTGAAGGTCAAAGTTGACTGGAAAGTAAGAAGCCGCAAGAGAATTCAACAAGCGAAAATTGAGCGAGAAAAATGGAAGTATAATCGGGAAGACAGTTGATAACGATTGATATTCCATTTAAATTTTTGAAGATCAAAGTTGGCTGGAAAGCACGGAGCCGGAAATGTGTTCCACAAACGAGAAGTGCAAGAGAAGGAACTGATAGCATAGAACTTGCGGCTACCTCTAACCAATTCAACTGTGAATTGATTAGACCTAATCGCCAATCTAGTACTGAGCTTAAATTTATAAAGTATATGTACAGTAGCGAAGCGTTCCTCTGAACAGTTAGCATGAAAGTCTTTATAGTAAAGGTACAAGGAAGGTACATTACGAAGGAGGGAAAGTGTCTGAAGTCGAGACGCCAGGTCAGGATCAGTAGTATTGCTGATTCTTCTTTGGAGAATCTCTAAATATACAGCAGGAACACAAGAACATTTGCAGGGAGGACCGAATTTTAGACGATTCTAAAGTCAGACAGAACGATATTTGATGCTTGGAATTCTATCCCGGATAAGTATAAAAGGATTTTAAAAAGTCGGCATCAAGTAACTTGATCTTCGGATCAACTTACCTATGTGAACCAATTTTTGGCAAAATGATTTTATCAATTAAAAGTATCGCGTAAATTTATCTGGCCGATAGTTTCAAACGTTTATACAAATAAATGATACAACTTATCAATAACCCGATTTTTGGATTAATTTACCTGTCTGAACCAGTTTTTACCGGTTACAGAATGTGTAAGAATTAGAAACAGTAAACAATACTAATAAGCGGGAACAAAAGAGGAGTAATCAGAAGGACAGTAGAAAACAATCTCCATTAAATTTTTGAAGATTAAAGATGGCTGGAAAGCATGGATGCGGAGGGTAGTTCCACAAGGAAGGCAGTAAAGCCACTAAGACACAAGGGGTTACTGAGTTTGGAAGAATTAGGAACAGAAATATTAACAATGAGTGGAAAGAGAAAAGAGTAATCAGAAGGACAGTAGATATCGACTGGCATTGCATATAAATTTTTGCAGATTAAAATTGGCTGGAAAGCATGAAGCAAGAAAAGAATTCCACAACCGGGATGTGCAATAGAAGAAACTAATAGCATAGAACTTACGGTTACTTTTAGCCTATTAAACTATGAGTTGATCATACTTTGTCGTCAATCTAGTACTGCGATTAAATTCATAAAATTCAAGGAAACATAACGAAGAGTTCATCCGAACAATTACCACGAACGTATTTATAGAAAAGGCACAGGGAAGCTACATTACGGCAGTGGGAAAGTGTTTGAAGCCAAGATGCCAAGACAAGACCAATAATATTGCTGATTCTTTTTCGAATTTTATCAAGAATCTCTAAATATACAGCGGCTGCATCGGGTCATATGTGGCAGCAATATTCGAAGCATAGATTGCATGGACGAATGGTAAACTCAAAATTGCTAGATAAGTTCTGGCGAGAAGATCTGAATATAGAAATAACCCGATTTTTGGATCGACTTACCAGTCTGAACAAATTTTTTACCATTACAGGGTGTTGAAAAATTAGAAACAGAACACAATGCTGAGGAGGGAGAACAATAGGGGAGTAATCAGGAGGACAGTAGATAAAAATCGACATTCAATTTGAATTTTCAAAGATTAAATTTGGCTGCGAAGTGTGGTGCCAAAAGGGAGTTCCGCAAATGAGAAGTGCTAGAAAAGAAACTGTTAGCATAGAACTTACGGTTACATCTAGCCAACTCAATTGTAAATTGATGAGACTTCGTCGACAGTCTAATACTAGGGTTGAATTTGAAAAGTTTAGGCACCATAGCGAAGAGCTCATCCGAACAATTACCATGAAAGTGTTTATAGAAAAGGCAGAGGGAAGCAACCCTACGGTGGTTAGAAAGAGAACAAGAACAAGATCAATAATATTGCTGATTCTTCTATGGATTTTGGTAGAATTATAGATATGTAAGATAGATTAGGGAGAGAACCACCTTTCTTAGCAACTAACCTGACAATGGATTCAATATAATCTTTCCACTTCATGTCAGTCGAGAACGTTAGCCTGAGGAGGCGCAACAATTCACTTTCCTGGAGGATAGCATCAGCCATAATTAAATAAACGTAATTGGCAGAAATGTCCAACGAACAGAATTGACAAAGTTCGCAACAAATAGCAAGAGGAAGAAAAGAAAAGAACGGGGCAAAAATAAAATAAAGCTTTGAGATATGCAAGTCAAAATAACAACAAAAGATTAAAGTTAGCTGGAAAACATGGAGTCGGGAAGTGAGTTCCAGAATCAAGAAGGATGGGATAAGAAACTGTTAGCATAGAATTTACGGTTACATCTACATCAACTCAATCGTAAATTGATGAGACTTCGTCGTCAATCTAGTACTGGGCTTAAATACAAAAAACTCCAAACATCACCCGGACAATTACCATGAAAGTATTTATAGAAACAGCACAGGGAGGCAACTTTACAGTGGGGAAAATTAACGGAAGCCGAGGCACCAGATCACGGCCAATAATATTGCTGATTCTTTGGATTTTTATCAAGTAGCTCTAGATAAATAACAAGATCAGTGGACCATATGTGATAGTAATATTCTAAGTATGGTCGTATGGTAGACTTATATAGATATGTAAGATAGATTCTGGAGAGAAAGAATGTGTAGCACGACACGGTGAACCAACTTTCTTAGCAGCTGACCAAGCAATGGATTCCATATAATGTTTCCACTTCCTGTCAATCGAAGACGTTAGCCCGAGAAGACGCAACAAGCCATTCTCTTGGAGGTCAGCATCAGGCATGATGGTAAATGCTAGAAAGGAGGTCTCTCAGTTAATTAACAGAAAATCATTTAGTTTTGGAGGCGTTAAAATGAACAATCCATCCTTTGCCCCAGTTAACAACAAACTGACGGTCGTCTTCGAGTATAGAATCCAGAGGTCGCCAGTGAATATTTCTGAGACAGTAGGAAAGCGTAGTGCAGGTTCGCAGTGGATATCGCAGCAAGGTAGCAGAGCGTAGTTCTTCCGTCTGTCATCTTCGTCTCCTAAGTTGGCACTGGTCATTCCGGTAGGGTAAACAAAAATGGCCGCCTTTATACACGACGGATATAGTGTTCTGCGGCTTCTGATTGGTCAACCTGGTAGACTATAAAGGGAATTAAGTCATTTTGACTAACTCACTAGTTATATATACACAAAAAACTGTAACACAGCTGACATTTAGATCATATCAAACAGATCATACTATCGAGACAGGTGTAAATGGTTGTGTTATCAATCTGCTTACCAAGGTGAGAGCTGATACCATACGGAAGGTCATTAATAAAAGTTAAAAACAAAATAGAACGAAGGATGGAAACCTGGGGACACCTGTTTATTACTAAAAGATCCGTGATCGTGGCCGTTCAGGATTACTTTCATTTCACGATTTTATAGGCTTTATAGGACACACTGTAGACAGCAAAGTATAGTCACATCGATGTGACATCAATTCCACAAGTCTTTGAGCAATTTTGACTAGACTTATTGAACTATGCCGTCTCGATAGATGTCCGTACTCCCCTTATATATGTAGGCGCATTATGTTGGTTATGACTAGACCTTTCCTTTACGTCCCATAAACGCTGAGTTGAGTTCAGTTCCGGCGAAGATTACGGCCATATAATATTCAGAATGCTCTATCAAATCAAATTTGAGAAATTTGGTTCCATTAACAGACTAAATTATCCAGCCGGTATGATCCATCGTTGTTGGAATGAATGGATTCCCTGAATTGGTTTGATTGGCGATAAAGCCGTATAGCTTATTGGTCCCCGATCAATGACATGTTTAGAACAAGCATATATATGGTGGACATATCACTACTATTGTAGGACCACTACCAGTCTTCACGGTGTTTTGACAACTAGAATCCATGGTCTCATATGAATAATTCCATGAAGCCAAGCCATATATTGTCAGTTCTGCAGGTTTCAATTACTGACGTCACGGGCTCAGGTGCTGTGACGTTAACAGTGAAACAATGTTCCTATATTCAATTAAAAAAACGTTGAAAAAGTCCGTTTGATATAAGCCTCGTACTTCCTGCATTGAATCTAGATATGATTTGAACCAGTATCTTTCATCTATTACCAAAGACAATGCCAAACAACCGATCTGATCACGATCACCGCTCTGTCCACAGTGGATCAAGGCGTTAAGAGTACTCCAGTGACTCAAGATCAAGGGATGTCCAAAATTTTGGATATTACATCTCTTTAGCCCTTTCTACCTGATTTGTTCCCATAAATCTAATAAAAGAAAAAAAAATTCGCCATCTAGCAAGATTCGAACCTGCATCACGCTTAGAAGGAGAAACCGTCGTTAGATCTGAGGTGCTTTAGACTAACTTTGCCAGAAGAATTTCCGCGTATATGACACTATTCGGCTTTGCTCGGTAGGCTCGACCCTTCAGGTCCGCATTGGCCTAAAGCAGCTCAGACCTAACAAACGTTTCTCCTCCAATGTAGACAGCAGGTTTTTCTTTTAAAAGACGAAAATAGATAAGTACACTATTTAATAAATAAGCGGATTAATAACTACCAAATCCATTACTCATTTATATATATATATATATATATATATATATATATATATATATATATATATATATATATATATATATATATATATGGCTGTCCTCTCGGTTTCGAGCGTGACCACCTATATATATATATATATATATATATATATATATATTGGCATTATATATATATATATATATATATATATATATATATACATACATACATATATATATATATATGTGTGTGTGTGTGTGCATGTATGTATATATATAAAGAGTAATGGATTTGTTATTATATATATATATATATATATATATATATATATAGTGGGGAAATAAATATTCTTACACTTGAAAAATTGTATTTTCATAAATGTAAAAGCCTTAAATAAAACAAATCTCGGCACATTTTATGTATAAAGACATATACTATTAAAAAAATAATAATAAACTTATTTAATTCTTATTCCAAAAGAAATTAATGCATTTTTTTAATTCTAACTGGTGAAAAAAGTATTCGTACAAATCAATTATTAGAATAAAATAATCAATTAATTATGAAAAAGTATATCCTAGAAAAGTCCAGGTAATGGTATCAGTAATTATAGTTAACGCTATTAGCCATTATCAGAGCATTCTGCAATTTCTAGTCTTACGAGGAGGTTCTAATAATGTCTAAAGGTAAAGAATTGACTATTTCACAAAAACAACACATTTTGTCTCTTTGGAAAGATAGGAACAGTTACAGAACGATTTCTAACAACCTGAATATTCCTTTTACTACAATTGCTTCGTTCATTGCAAGGTTTAAAACTCGTAACAGCGTCGAAAACCAAAGAAGAACAGGTGCTCCGAGGAAGATCTCTCTATGATCAGCAAGGATATTAGGACGCCAGATCCAACAAAATCCACAGGTTACCAGAGAAGAACTGCAGGAACATCTGCGTGCATTAGGGATTAAAGTAACCAAGCGTACAATAAGTAATGAATTACACAAAAATAGTCTGAAATCACGCATCCCAAGGAAGACTCCACTTCTCTCGAAACGACACAGAGATGCTAGGCTAAAATTCGTTAGAGAGCATAAGGATAAAGAATATTCGAATTGGGTAAAAGTATTATGGACAGATGAAACTAAAATAGTTGTTTGGTCATAATTATCGAAATCATGTGTGGAGGAAGGACGGTGAAGCCTACTTACCAAAGAACACGTTGCCAACTGTAAAGTTTGATGGTGGCAGTAACATGATCTGGGGCTGTTTTTCTGCAAAATGTGTTGGCAGAATATCAATAATAGATGGCAAGATGAATGCCGAAATATACCAGAAAATCCCGCAAGAAATTTAATGCGTTCTGTTGAGAGACTTCGGCTACCTCCTGATTGGGTTTTCCAACTGGATAATGATCCTAAGCATACTGCTAGATCTACAAGGAAATGGTTATCTGAAAGTAACATTGATGTCTTGCAATGGCCAAGTCAGTCCCCAGACTTGAACCCAATCGAGAATTTATGGCGATATTTGAAAATTCAAATTTGGAAAAGAGCACCAACAAATATCAAGAATTTGAAGACAATATGCCAAGAAGAATGGGACAAAATAACACTCAATGTGTGCAAATCATTAGTTGAGAGTACAGGAACAGACTGGTAGCAGTTGAACTCAATAAAGGATATTCCACAAAGTATTAAATTAGGTTAATATGCTTTTTTTGTTTTGTACGAATACTTTTTCATCAGTTAAAATGAAAAAAATGCATTAATTTCTGTTAGAATAACAATTAATTGAGTTTATTACTATTTTTTAATAAAATGTAACTTTACACATGAAATGTATCAAAATTTGTTTTAGTTAAGGCTTTTACATTTATAAAAATACCGTTTTTCATATGTACAAATATTTATTTTCCCTCGCTGTATATATATATTCGGTGCCAGATATATGTTTATCATTAAATCTATCTCTATTAAATTTTGTTTACTTTCTTTGACATCTGTTCTTGCTGCTTGCGAGCTAATCGTTCATTATAATTAATTTTATCTATCTATCTATCTATCTATCTATCTATCTAAGTCTGTTTTTATGTATGTATCTATATCTATATCTCAATATATTGTTTATCTATCTATCTATCTATCTATCTCAGGACATTATCTAGCTATCATTATTCATATATATGTATGCATATATCTATATGTGAGTGCGTGTGAATAAAGTGTCAATGTTTATGTTCGAGAAATTGTCAGTCTGTATGCACTGGCCAGAGAGAGAAAAAGAGAGAGAGAGAGAATGAGAGAGTGAAAGAATGAGAGAGAGTGAGAGAGATAGTAGAGAGAGAGTGTGTGTAAGAGAGAGAGAGAGAGAGAGAGTGAGAGAGAGAGAGAGCAGTAGTATTAGTATTAAATACCGTGTAAACATTGCTTAATAAAGTGAAATCTGTTGCTATCCCTGATCCAAGACAAAGCCAAATATCCTTAGATTCCTGCCGCCATTATCTTAGATTTTAGCATGCCAATCATCCTTTTACCTTATCTTACAAAACTGAAGGTTTTTCTTTCAAAGTGATTTGATCAGATACATTAATCAAAAATAACTTCGACCAGAATTGTCTTTATTTCCCTTTTATTTCTTTTTCTCTCTAACAGGAAGAGGCAGAAGAAATGGTCAAAGAGGCCGATTTAAATGGCGACGGCAAAGTCGATTATAGCGGTAAGACAAATTCAATGCTTTATAGATCAACCAAAGGGCACCATTGTTAAGGGTCTTCATCTTTCGAGATCTGGTAAAAGCCAGAGTTTCAAATGCTGCTTTTCGAGACAGGAAAAACTTTGATCATAAATAATTTCTGTTTTTGTTTATCAATTTTCTTCTTCAAAATAATAAAGCACAATTATATTTTAATCAATTATATATTCTCTATTATTTGCAATAACATGTTGCCACTACGTAGGCAGCTCTTCCATATCTTTTGAGTAAAATTCGATAGTTTTTGATGGGAAAAAAGTTTCCAACTAACGCTTGAATTTATTATCACGAGAGAAACTTATACTCAAAAAGCAGCGTTTTGAAGCGATGGAAAAAAAGTTAAGTCAGTTGCTAAGAAATCAGTTCACTGTATCGTGCGAAACAATTTTTCTCTCCAGGATCTATCTTATATATCTGTAAGTCTACCGTTCGTCCATGCTTAGAGTATTGCTGCCACATATTCCGTGACCCTGCTATTTACCTTGAGCTCTTTGATTAGATCCAAAGAAGTATCAGCAATATTACTAATTCTGATTTGGCGGCTCGGCTTCAGTCACTTTCCTAAAATCGTATGGTTGCTTTCTGTGTCTTTTCCATAAATACTTTCAAGTTTAATTTGCTCTTTGAATTTAAGCGTAGAACTAAACTGGCGTCGAGATCACATCAATTTACATTTGAACTGGCTAAATGCAGCCGTAATTTCTTTTCACGCCCTTCTCGATTGTGGAAATCTCTTCCGGCTCTATGCTTTCCAGCCAACTTTGATCTTCAAAAATGTAAATAAATTACTCTTCTATTGTTCTCGCTCTTTAATAATGTTTCTATATTATAATTTTTTCACACACATAACCCATTGTGTCTTCTATACTCACAGAAGAAGAAAATAGACTTATTTTCAATCTTACATAGAGCTCGCTCGGTCCACCATCTTCGAGTTCTTGAGGCTGTGTATGTTAAGTTTCATCCGACAATACTGTGTAAGCAAAAGGAACACTTCATTCGTTCCTTACGTTTCATTGAGGAACATGTCTTTCCATTTTATACTCTTTTCATAAAGTTTTATATTGTTTTTAGTCGTTAATTTATTTACAGTTTAAATCTATTTTAATCGTGTTCCATTCGTTATATAAAAAATTACAACATAAGTATGTTGTAAAATCACTAAAAATAGCCATTTTGTTTCAACAATGGTGTTGAAACAAAATGGCTATTTTTGTAGTGATTTTACAATATACTTATGTTGTAATTTTTTTATAAATAATAATTATATATATATATATATATATATATATATATATATATATATATATGAACATAAAGTACCAGCTAATATTCCACAAATAAATTCTCAGAAAAAATATATTTTATTTTGAACGATTAAAATAATCAGCGATTTTAACAATTTCAAAATGAAAACTACTTCCAATCAATATAATTAGTTTTGAAATGCAGCAAAGTATTTTGCTTTTTTATAAATATTAAATTTTGTCTATTAGCTTGAAATTAAGTTAAAGTCGTCATAAAAGGTTTTTCGTTTGTTTTTTTAAAATTAATTTTAAACCTTAGGTATCGCTTTTCTTTGGAGGTACCTATATTAATTTAAACATTGCAATAAAAATAATTTTTTCCTATTATTTGAAAGTATTTGGAGGGGGTATCACAGTTGCTGTTCCGTTGTCAAAAATCATTTGGAGTGAGGAAGTCACTGTGGCTGTTCCGTTATCTGAAATCATTCAGAGCCAGGAAATCTGTATGGATGTTCCGTATTTGAAATCATTCAGAGGGAATGGATCGTTACGGATGTTTCGTTATCTGTTATAAATTAGAGTAAGCGATTCACTGTGTCGGTCCTATGATCTGAAATAATTCAGATCGGGTCAGTTAGCACGTCTGTTTGGTTATCTGAAAACATTCAGAAGGAGGGAGTCATATTGGCTTTGCGTTATCAGAGATGTTGCGAAAGTAGAGAAACGATGCACGTGTACTGATATCTGAAGTCATTCGCAAGGAAGGAGTCACTGTGGCTGTTCCGTTATCTGGTATCATTCGTGGGGAGGGAAGGATTCGTCCTCGCTGTTCCGCAATCACATGACCTTCAAATTGAAATACGTGATTTTAATCTGAGTTTGCAAATGACAGGCAGTTGATCGCTCGCACACTCAGCGCTTGGATAAATGTTAACGCGTGGAAATACATACCTGAAATCTTTTATTAGTTGTGATGTATTCTGCCCGGTTCTTTATGTCAGTTCTTGGCCTTCTCCATCTCCAAAAGCGTCTTGGTTGTTCTTTAGCCCAGGGGTTAGTTTTTATTTTGTTGTCTGCTGTGCAACATGGACCCATTTTTCCTGGATGTTTGTTGTATGATTCAAATCCTTACTTAACGACTGCATTGTACCTTCGTTCCTTTCGTATTTCAGACCCCCACGATTATGACAATTTCTTTTTGTTTTTATTGGTCCTTCGTGTTAACTAATGTACTATGAGACTTACCTATATCTTATTCAGAATTATAACTTTGGCAAGTATACTATTATAATTACAAAGCTGGATCGTTTCTTTAAACCTTTACCAGTATCCCAGATAACATTTCATCATTCATTGATCTAGTATTAGTCCTACTCCTCTTTCGTTTTTTCCTCCTCGCCTACATTCCTGAGTCCTTCATTTATGAAGTCTATCATTATTTATTCATGTAATTTCTTATACACACATAATTTTCATGTCGAGTTTTTTTTTTTAATTTTTAGCTTGATATTTTTCATCTTACACATTGATAAAATGTCCTTACATTCTATGTCCAGTCTATGGTTTTATCGTTGTTGAGAGATTGTCGGATGATCACCTTCACATCGCTTTCTGTAATAATCGTTTTTTTATAAGTCATGATTGTTACTGGTAAGAATAGTGGTATTATTCCAGGTGACATCCTCCACGGTAACTTGATTAAGACACCACTTCTAGTATGCTGGCCGTTGATATTTTTAAGACCTTCCGATTCTTGTCAGGTTTATTTTTTCCTAGAGTGTTTTTCTATCTATCTATCTATCTATCTATCTATCTATCTATCTATCTATCTATCTATGTTCATATCACTGTCTGTTCATAGATATCACATTTTTCTGCCCATCAGCTTACTTTTTCCTAGAGTGTTGCTATCTATCTATCTATCTATCTATCTATCTATCTATCTATCTATCTATCTATGTTCATATCACTGTCTGTTCATAGATATCACATTTTTCTACACATCACCTTTCTTTTTCCTAGAGTGTTGCTATCTATCTATCTATCTATCTATCTATCTATCTATCTATCTATCTATGTTCATATCACTGTCTGTTCATAGATATCACATTTTCTGCACATCAACGTACTTTTTCCTAGAGTGTTGCTATATCTATCTATCTATCTATCTATCTATCTATCTATCTATCTATCTATCTATCTATCTATCACTGTTCATATATATTTCTCTGTCTATGTGTATTCCTGTTTTAAAAATCACTGAAATTCTTTTATTTATTGTTATGGTAAACATCTATATTTTATTAATCATCAATATTTGTTTCATTTTTCAGAATTCAAAACAATTTTGAAATGGAAATGAAGCACAAATACATCACAATAGAAATCATCAAAATCACTCATCTAAACGGACCTTTAAAATTCCATGTTTGAAATATGCTTGTTAGCCAACAACGTACAGGATACAAAGCGTATATTTTTTCACTTGTGCAATTATCATCAGAAAAATTTCATGAAATTCATGAATCATGACAACAACAACAACAACACCAAGGCTAACGACGATTACAATAATCATCATCGTCATGAATATGAAAAGAAACGTTATAATGAAAGAAAAAAAAACAATATAAACGCATCTCGAGAATTATTAGTCAAATGCGAGACAAATGAAAACAAAACTTTGTAGGGCATTTGTTTCAAACGTTATTTTTAGTCGATATGCTTATTTCGCATACATAAGGGTACCCTCTAAAAGTAACGTTTCAAGAAATAAAACATCGCATTAAAAGTAAATCCATTAATTCTCATATATATCTATATGTGTGTGTGTGTGTGTGCATGTCTGTTGCGTGAGTGTATGTATGTAAAGACATATATATATATGTATGTACATGCGTGTGTGCGTGTGTGTGTATATATATGTTGTGTGTGTGTATGTATGTAAAGTCACATATATATATGGATGTATATATGTATATATGTGTGTGTGTGCATGTCTGTTGTGTGTATATATTTACATACATACAAAAATAAAATAAAAGAAAAACTTATGTTAGCCGACATATTTCGTCCTCTCATGGGCTTTATGTAGGAAAATTTAGGATTCATATGCATACATAAAAGTAAAATTCATTAATTCTCATATATATATATATATATATATATATATATATATATATATATATGTGTGTGTGTGTGTGTGTGTGTGTGTGTGTGTGTGTGGGTATGTGTATAAAGACAAAAGAAAATCTTATGTTAGCTGACACATTTCGTACTCTGATAGACTTTATGCAGGCGAATTTATGATTAATATACATACATATATGTGTGTGTATGTGTGTGCATGTATAAAGATTTAATATATATATCTATAAAGGATTATATGTATAATATATATATATATATATAATGTGCATATATTATATTTATTTATATATATATATATATATATATATATATATATATATGTATAAAGGACTTATGCATATATACATACATGCAAATATATATATATATATAAATATATATATATATATATATATAGAAAGAGTTAATATAAATATATATATATATGTAATATATATATATATATGTATGTATGTATTATATATATGTATGTATGTATGTATGTATAAGTGATTTAAGTATATTATATATATATATATATATATGTGTGTGTGTGTGTGTGTGTATGTGTGTGTGCGTGTATGTGTGTGTGTGTGTGTGTGTATAAAAATATAGGCAATGAAGCCAATGTGTTTATTAAGTTTTTTCGCGTACGCAGGCCGACAATCGAAGTACGCACTACTTAAAATTTTTAAAAATGATAACGAGGTGCGTATTTCAAATACTGCTGTCCACGAAAAATAAGTTTGGGAGTAATAAAATGGCGCATTAAAAATTAATCAATGACTTATTTAGTCGTATATATGTTGAAGTTTCTTCAGCAGTAATAAATCAATGCTTATTGTTGTTTGGGATTTTAACGCTGGACAATGTTAACTGAACAAATAAAAAAAAAAAAAAAAATATCTTTGCACTAGATAAATATAATGATCCTGTTCTAAAAATAAATACAGTGTGTCCATAAAGTTCGTGTGAACTTTAAAAAATATAACTTTATTTGTATTTGCGATACAAATAATCTGCCAAAAATGCTATAAAGTTTAATGTACCTAAAATATAGCTAAAATAACTTATGTGATTTCAGGCATTACTGTAAATCAGTTGGCAAATATTTTCCGTGAACTACAAAATCGTATTACCCTTTGTACTGCTAATGATGGAGGACATGTGGAAACTTAAAAAATATAGATTTACTTCTTTCTAATTCTTTTTACAAATTATTTCTATCGCAAATACAAATAAAGTTATAAATTTTTTAATGTGCACACGAACTTTATGGACACCCTGAGTATATATATATATATATATATATATATATATATATTTAAGCATTACGCCCCGAGCAAGGCGTGAAGCCACTAGGATGCAGGGGTTTACAGAAGATTTGGAGCGAGAGCAGATAGGAGTGATAGAGGAAATGATGAGGAGAGGGATAGTGGGTAGATCAGGGTAACTGGAGATGTCGATTGACATTACATTTGAATAATTGGAGATTATAGCTCTCTCTCGGAAACAGTAATTGGGGAGGGTGTTCCACAGGCGAGAGGTGCGAGGTATGAAGCTATTGGAGTAGAAGAGACGGCTACATTTAAAAGTTTCTACAGTGAAAGGGTGAGAGCGGGATTACAGCCTCCTAGGGCGCTTGAATTCGCGAAGTCTAGGAACCAGCGAATGCAGCTCATCGGAGCAATTACGATGAAAGTATTTGTAAAAAAGACAGAGAGAGGCGACGGCGCGTCTGTGAGAGAGCAACTGCAGATGAGATGCCAGATCAGGGCCAATTATATTACATATCCGCCTCTGGATCTTGTCAAGAACTCCGAGGTAAACAGAAGGCGCAGCAGACCATATATGGCAGCAATACTCCATGCAAGGGCGAATGGTTGATTTGTATATTTGAAATATCGATTCTGAGGAGAAAAATTTCCTGGCGCGGCACAGGGAGCCAACTTTCCTCGCGGTGGAAGAAGCAATTGACTCAATGTATTTGTTCCATCTCAGGTTAGCAGTCAACGTGAGACCGAGCAGACGCAGAGAGTTGCTCTCAAGAAGTTGACTATCAGACATTCTAATGGGGGGCAGGGAAGGATCTCTATGGTGATTAATAGAGAGTAGTTTAGTTTTTGAGGCGTTAAAGTTGACCAGCCAATTCTTGCCCCAATTAACAACCGATTGGAGGTCCATTTCAAGACGAGCGGCCAGGTTAGTTTTGTCAGCGACACTAGATTTGTTTTTGAGGCAGGAGTAAATTGTAGTGTCGTCCGCGTAGATGCCAACTTGGGAATCTATGGCGTCAGGAAGGTCGTTAATGAAAATAAGGAATAGAGTGGGGCCAAGGATGGAGCCTTGGGGAAAACCTGCGTTCGTGAGATAGGAAATGGAGGAGAATCCGTTGAGAACGACCTTCAATACACAGTTTGGCAGGAATTATTGTATTAGGTCAAGCAATCGACCTGTAATACAATAACCCTGGAGCTTGCGAAGAAGGCCGGCATGCCAAACCCTAACAAAAGCTTTGGAGATGTCTAGGGCCACGGCACGAGCCTCACTTGTTTTGAAAGGCTTGGTAGACGGTTTCAGTGATGGCCGTAAGCACATCAGCTGTAGATCTGGCGTAGCGGAAACCATATTGCTTGTTTGAGAGCAGGTCGTGTGAGGTAAGGTGGTTAACCACTTCGGCGTTGATTAGGGCTTCGAAGACTTTGCCGAAGAGGGGTAGGAGACTAATAGGAAGGTAATTAGTGGGGTCAGAGGGGTCTCCAGAGTTCTTAAATACAGGAACAATGGATGAGGACTTCCAGCAGTCAGGAAAACAGGATTCATTGAGGCAGTAGTTATATAGTTTAGAGAGGGCGGGCGCTAGCTCAGGCGCGCATTTCTTCAAGACAATGGCTGGTATGCCATCTCCACTACTAGCCTTGTGGTGGTCTAAATTGGAGATAATGCCCAATACCAATGACGGGGTTATGTGTAACCCGCTCAATAGTGCCTCAGTTCTTAGAGGAAAGTCTGCTATGGGTACACCGAAGGAGTCGAGCGTTGAATTAAATGAGAATTTCCGAGCAAAGCATTCAGCCTTGTCGGTAGAGGAGGTTAACACCTCGAAATGGTTGAACAAAGGGGGTATGGAGGGTTTTCTATTGTTCAGGACGCTCTTGCAGAGCCGCCAATAATCTTTGGAGCCAAATTTGCGAGATGTAATACGCCCCTTCATCCGAGCAGCAAATATTGACTTAGCTTCGTTGAGGACACGCTTACACTCGATACGGGCGAAGGCAAAGAGACGTCTATTGCAGTCCGACATGTCGCTACGAAATATGAGCAATGGCGGACATTATTTTCTGGCAATAATTTTTATAGATTATCTTTTTTCGGACCTTTCTCACCCAAACATTTGCTAGAATAGAGAAATATTGATTTTTATCAATTTAGATGTGAGGCTCTATTTTATAATATCGATACAGTGTAAAGCAGATCGCTTCCGTTTTAAAGAGTTATCGAACTTATTTCACAAATGTCAAATCTTAAATTGTACTCACATCATTGATATGTGCATATATTTGTTTTGTAATGAAAAAAAAATACAATTCTGAACTCTTTAAATATTTATAAAAATCCTTTTTAGTGAAGGAGTTTTTTCGGAAACCTTGTGTTATAATACATATTTATCTTAAATGAAGAAAATACGAGCATATACTATTATTAATTTATATAATCGTTTTTTTTTATATTTAATTGAAAATGTTTGCATGTGTTTAGTTTATATTTAAATCTTTTTATATTAAAAACAAAAGTTTATTTTCCGTACTCAATTAACTCTGTAAAATTCTGTCACTGTATCCATATAATGAACAAGACCCCATTTAAAAGGATAACAAACAATAATCAATATCTTTCGATTATGACAAGTGTCTAAACAAATTTATCAACCGGTGCATCCTGGAGCACTCCTGTCGCCTTACAGGTAGCCAGTGACAGGGCAGGTGTAAGCGTCTTGTGCCGCCATCTCGAATCTATGATACGGGACCACGAACTCTACATCATCTTAATTTTTCATGAGGTCGTATTCATAAAAAATACACATTTTATTGTAACCTAATTATGTACGCTGAACCTTAAGGACACATGGCACAGTAGATAAAGGCGTTAGTTAGATCTAGTGACAGGGCCCAAAGAGTGTGAGTTCAATACCCGGTTTAGGCAGTGGAGAACTTTCAGAGGGAAATTAACAGGATAACTGATAACTGACATCCATTAAAGATGGCACGTGGAACTAGAACAGTCTACCCTAGTGAGCGAAATAAAGGGTTCAGTTCGACATTCCAACCACCTGAAGAAGGCCGGAGCGTACAACGGCCGAAACGTTGTAATAAATATGGCGACAAAGATGAGAACAATAGTCCGAATAATGTAAATAATGTACATAATACTTCAACTCAGAAATATAAACAGTTTTATTCTTCATTTTTATGATTTTATTTGTATTTGTTGAAGGTATTTTCTTTTTTTTTAATTTTGAGAAAAGTAAAAAAAAGAAAACCCAGTATTAATTAAAAAAAAACAAAAAAAAAAACAACTTTTTGTTAAGATATTGCAGCATCCAGCCAGATATTTTAAAACAAACGGATAATAAAAGTGTTTTTTTTTAAGATTTTATCATGATTACTGCTGGTAATATAAAGTAATAAAGATTGTTCATCTTATATGAAGACAGAAATTTTCATAAACCTGGAGTTCATGTCATTTATTTCAAATAGAGCTCAGTTAATAAAACTGAATCTATAAGCAACAATTTGTTATATTATAATTCTGATATTTACTTAATTCCTTATTCGATTCAGTTGCTTAGTTAGCACATATGTTACTGCTTACCGTTAAGGGATAATTCCGTTTAGATCGCACGGAAAGACGAAAAAGAAATATCAGGTACGTTGTTGAAATTGCTGGTGCCTTCAGGAACCACATTTTTGAGATTTCTATTTCAAGATCCTTGAACTTTAATAGTTTATTGAATAACTTAAACATTACAGTCTGCAGGAGCTGCCATGTCAGTAAGAAAGCACATTCTGTTTTTTGGTCTCTAATCACGATGTCTGGCCAATTAGCTTTGATTGTTCTGTTTGTGTGTATTGTAAAGTCCCATAAAATTTTTACAGGTGCTATCTTTGTAACCAATTCTTGGTGAGGTTCACACCAATTTCTTGCAGTTTCTTTCCCGTAAATGTTGTATATTTTCCAGTGCCTATATTAGCCCAGTGGGTGTTAACACCGTGCAACCTGATACAAGATTGTGACGTCGCCCCTCCTTGGTCGCAGCGTCGACTCTGTCGTTCGATCTCGTTCGCGGCTCCAACTGTGACGTGACGTGATGTGGCCGCCCAAGGGTCGATCCTTGTCACGGACAGCACCAGTTGTGACGTTTTTGCCGCGGCGTCAGTTGTTCGCTCCTCGCTGCTCCAAGTGTGACGTTCCAACCTCTGGTTAGATGATTACCAACCTCGCCGTTCCCAACTCGCTTCCAATACCTGGTTACTAGGGTAACTGTACTGATCTCCGGTCTGCCTACCCACGTTGTAATTAGATCTTAGACAGACGGGATTAAACAGGAGTCGGGGCCGTATGTCAGCTGGGTTCAACGGGGGTGGCAACACACAAGCAAAAAAAAAAAAAAAAAACTCACGAGGCAAAAAATTACTGATAAGAAAGGGTAACTACCTTTTATATCTAATGTTCGTTACATAAAAATTATTCTTACTTCCCGACCCGTTTTGTGGACTGTGGCACCAAGCTTCTATCATACAATTTAAAGACTTCGAGTTGCCTACTCTCTAGAATTTTGTATGTCGGAGTGTGGTTTGGTTTCGACACTGGGCGCTAATCTCTACCAGTCGTTCACGGCTGATTCTTCTCTTCGGCTTGAGTTGGACGAGCTTATTCGCTTCGGCTTGAGTTGGACGTATTTCTTCACTTCGATTTGGGTTGGACGAATTTCCACCCTCAGGCTTGGCCTGGTTTCAACTTCTTCTAGACGCAATTGCAAGTAACTTCTTCTTCTTCCGTCCTGCAACTCTTCTCGCCAAGGTCCGAACTCTTCTCTCTGCCGTCTGAGGTGATCTCTTCTCTCTGCCTTCCGGGGCTGAACTGTTCTGCTTGTTTGGCCTGCAACTTTACTGCCTGTCTGGCCTGCAATTCTTCTGCTTGTCTGGCCTGCAGCTCTTCTGCCTATCTGGCCTACAGCTCTTCTGCTTGTCTGGCCTGCAGCTCTTCTGCCTATCTGGCCTGCAATTCTTCGGCTTGTCTGGCCTGCAATTCTGCTCCAACTTCTCTGCGGCTTTCGAGCAATTTTCTTCTCTTCGACTTGGCTGCAACTTCTCTGCCTGTCCGGGCCAAACGGACCGGCCCTTCTTGCCCGCTGGGGGCGAATGAGCAGGGCCCGCCGTCCGCTCTCCAACTGCTCTGGCCGTCTACCCCGCAACTCTCTGATTTCTGTCGATTTGGGTCCTGCTTTTATTGACGCCGCAACAAACTGGGGTGGGTCTGTCGGCGTCAGGGGTTTCTTGATAATTCAAAAGTCGCATTAGTTCTGATTTCCCATTATCGCTCTTATTTTCACCCCTACTTCCTCACAGTGCCTCTGGGGGGAGGCGCATACCCATCTCTCCCGGTCTCTCGTATGTCAGGTGACCGTTTTTCGACCAATGGGTCCTGGTCGAGCGTCCTTTCTCCTCTTTCTCGCATATCACGTGACCGCTTTCGGCTAATGAGATCCTGGTTGGGCGTCTCCGTCCTTCGTGACGTCTCCAATCGGGCGTGGTCTATCCCGGCTTTGTTCTGGGAAAGAAAACACCTTGCTAAAAAAAACAAAATCCAATTTGGCCTTTTTCGCACGCACGAAAATGACAATCTCGGCCTTTCTCACCTTTTGGTTTTTGTCAAAACAGCCCGCCGCTAATTAGATGTGACTTCAGGAAGAATTTTTCTCGTCTCGCTGGCGCTTTCTGTGAGCCAAAACAATTGTTTTCATTCCTTTATTTTCGTTATTTTCGGCCTGACAGTTAAAATCTTAATTATCTGAATTGAAAATATCCTCACTTCATCATCGTGGGGGTTAATGTTTCGTTTTCCATTGTTCTAAAAATCCCATTTCTCCAAATTGATAATGAGCTTCTACATTCCGTGGACACAAAAGTAGGCCAGATGTTTTGACCGATATTTTTATCAATCGTACGTATGTTCATCCACTTTTACCATGTCCGTTCATTATCTCTAAACTTATTCCTTCAAATAACAATTTCCATTGTTCTTGAAATTCGGTCAGGCGCGTTGGCCTAGATATCTCTTGACACCTGTTTTCGCTTATGACCGGCTATCTATTTCTCCTCCTCTCCTTTTCTTTTCTTCTTCTTCCCTTAGGATCGCCTAAATACAATTAGAGAAATATTCTCAAAACTTAATTACTCTTCGTCTAAATAACTAACAACTGGTTAATAAACCGAATAAAAATTAAATCATATTTCTAGGAATATTTCTTTTTAGTTTTTCTAATAATGCAGGGTGCCACAAGATGGTCAGTTGTTTCTGCATATTTATCACAGAATCTGCATTTCGGGTTAAAAACAATTTTTCAGTCTGTGCTTGTTAATTCCTAGTTAGCAAGCTTTGATTCTGTGCAGTAAGAAGAAAACCTTCAGCTTTTAACTCTGCACTACGTAACCACAGATGTGTTTGTCTACATCAGCTTGTGTCTTGTCACTCTTTCTGCATTTAGTATGTTACATTAGTTTTTCCTTTCTTTTTTAAGTTCTTTATAGCTGCACTAGTTGTATTATGGTTTATTTGCACTTCACACCCTTGGATAATAAAAATTATTATTATTATGATGATTATTATTCCATTTATTGCATTTTACTGTTGTTTATTGAAACACGATTGTTAGTAATAAAATAATAATAGGTAAACTGGTAAATAACATTACAAAAAATGTGTATATTTTAGCTTCATATGATTAATTGCGATTAATCTAACCGCCGTAGTCTTGTCTAAGGGAAATAACCGTTATTAAAAAATTAAAAGTTGTCTCCCTTGGCAAGTACAATATTTTGATATAATGTATATATGTGGTCTGAAGTCTTGTTGCCCCTACATAATATAATTCTCATTTTCAACGCCCTGTTGGGTATTATTATCAAGGAGAGAGTTTCACATGAACGATACCAGAATACCCATCAGTTGAAGGACGCCGTTCGGAGAGACCTTGAAACAATCAATAAAGCACAGCTTCGTAAAATATCACACAGGACATGGTGCCTTCTTATTTTTTTACCACGAAAATGATGGTGTTCATACAGACCATCTCGACGTGTGACAGCGTCAATGAAAGTGAATAAACTGAATCTAGTACATTTGCTTTGTCTAAAAATCCATTTTTTTTTTGGTATGCGGTGACAAGACATTCGGACCACCCTCTATATTTTTTTCAAGGTCTTCAGTGTTACGTTCGTTCGTAGATTTTTTGTGTGTTTGGCAATATATGCTAAGTTGAAGAAATAAACTTCGTTGAGTTTAGATTATCGATTGCAGCTGCTTCTGGCTTAACGTCTTGTTTCCTTTCCGAACGAAAATGACGTTAAGTGGGAAGCTGTAGGCATATAAATTTGAGGATTCAATAGACATTTTCTAATGTACTGGGTGGTCCGAAAGTCTTGTCACCTCCTAAATAATATAATTTTCTATTTCGGCTCTCTGTGGCGTATTTTCACCAAAGAGAGAGTTACAGGTGAACGATACCAGAATACCCATCATTTGAAGGACGTCATTCGGAGAGCCTTTGCAACAATCAACAAAGCACAGCTTCGTAAAATATCACACAGGACATGGCGCTGCATCATTTTGTGCCACGAAAATGATAGTGTCCATACAGACTTTCTCGACGTGTGATAGCGTAAATGAATAAACAGAATCCACTACCTCTGATATGCATTACTGTATTAATTGTCCTTCTACTGTTCTCATTGGTCGGAGGTGACAAGACTTTCGGGCCACTATGTATATTTATCACTTTCTTCAGTGTCACGTTCATTCGTTCGTTTTATACGTAGGCAATCATCGCCTTCTCTAACTCCCTTTCATAATATCTGTAAACTTTAAATTGCTGTGACTGTTTTATTCTGTTTGCTTAACCACAGTTTGAAATTCAGTATTATCCGTTTCTTGAATGGGTGAGAGGGCCTAGTCTATCATGTTTTTTTCACTCGGGGTTGCTTCTAGGAGTAAAAAAGATGTCTGCCTATCTTTCTAAAGAGCATTGGGGCAATTTGAGTTAGCTTATTTATTTCTGAAAATAATAATATAGCATTCATTAGCTGTTTTTTTTTGTTGTTTTTTTTTTTACAATAAAGCGTCAAGAGGTCATTTACTAAAGCATACCGTACTGTTGAAACCAAGGTAGCAGATTCAACTGACCTCCTGATTTTTTAAATATATATATATATATATATATATATATATATATATATTGTGTATATTTAGGCAGCAATTTTTCATTAATGCAATACAACGATAATGTGATTAAGCTTATCAGACAATATGAAAGGAACTTACTTAAAACAAATAAACAAAACTTGTCTATATTATTTAATGAAACATGCATTATATATATATATATATATATATATATATATATATATATATAATATTAGCCCAAAATTTATTTTTAGTGGATTCCGTTTTTTGCAATAGATGACGCGTCTTTATTACATGTTGCATTACTGCTATCAACCTGCGCACTTGAGAAAATTCAATAAAGAAATTATGCTTTCCGGAAGAGTAGGAGCCTAATCTCTAATCTTCCCTTTGTTGGAGCACCTTTTGATCGGGCGTGCCTTAGGTCCCTCACCCTCAGAGAACAGACAGCCCATCAAAATTTACCTTTTTTGAGGAAAGAACATTTTACCTTTTTTGAGGAAAGAACATTTCTATATTTTTCTCGAAAGCCCAAAACTTTTCAAATGTGACAAACGTTAAATTTATTCGTAAAAAAATGAGACTACAGACACCCACATAGAAGGGGCAAAGGTGATTTCATCTCGCTCTCAAATGTTTCTGTTTGATAGACCAGCGGATCATTCGTCTTCTAAAATGCACCGCTTTAACAGATGAGGAATGGGAACTGAAGGGATTTTCAGAGATCAAGTGGCAATAAAACCGGAAATAGATTCTATCCGTGTCTGGTTTTAAATAACAGTAATTGTTGGAATCGGGCTGAGTTCTGGTTCGCTCTTGGATGGAGACAGACGTACTCGCTGTGCGGTTCCCAATAATCAGTTTCGTACTCGCATCCACCACGTCGGTATCAGTAGATGGGCGAGGAGTTATTTAACCTATTTAAAACACCTACATATAATACGGATAAAAAGTGTTCGCGTACTAAATTTCTTCTGGTGTTTCTTTCATCATATTAACTTGTGAGCATGCATCATACCCTTTCCCAGTTTTAAGTCAACACCGACGACATCGAGAATTGGAAGGCGTCATTGACCGGTCAGTAGAAAGTTGGAGCGAAGGTTGCGTTGTGAGTTTACAGAAACATACTTGTCATCATTATTAGCAATGGGTGACTGTGTGAGGGTGATTATTTTCTTCCTTTTGTTTAGAAAAAATGATTGAAGATGAATACATAAAAAATTGTTATCAACAGAAGATGTTTGAATCAGAAAGAAAGCATGGAAGGGATATAGTTTGCTCAAACTAGATTTTTTGCTCGTGTCATTGACTTACACATGTCTTAACACCCATGAGGTAAGCCGTGAAACTTCAACAATAATATTTATTACTGGTGTCATTGGAACCAGGAAAACTATCTTCTCCCACGTAACCCAGCAGCGATTACATCCTAACCAGATTCTGGACGTCTGTTAATTTTGGCCTAAATCCCAGAGACGCAACATTGATTCTCTGTGTCTTTTCAATAAATACTTTCATGGTAATTGTTCAGATGTGCAATTCTCTATGGTACATAAACTCTTTGAATTTTAGCACTGATGTCAATTTACTGTTGAGCTGGTGAGGTGTAACTGTAAATTATAAGCTAATAGTTTCTTTTTTCTATATTCTCGCTTATGGAACTCTTTTCTGGCTCCATGCTTTCCAGTTGAATCAGCGAAAATTTAGGAGCAACAAGACTTCAAACCACATATACATTATATCAAAATAATGTACTTTCCAAGGGAGACAACTTTAAAACTTTTAATAACGGTTATTTCCTTTAGACAAGAATATGGATCTTATTTCACTTATATTAATCGCAATATGAAACATGCATTTTTTGTTATATAATTTATTAATTTACTTATTATTATTTTATTGCTAACAATCGTGTTTCAATAAACAACAGTAAAATGCAATAAAATGAATAATAATCATAATAATAATAATTTTTATTATTCAAGTGGGTGAAGTGCAAATAAACAATAAAACAACTACTGCAGCGATAAAGAACTTAAAAAAGAAAGGAAAAACTAATGTAACATACTAAATACAGAAAAAATGACAAGACACAAGCTGATGTAGACAAACTCACATCAATCCAACCAAAATATATATATATATATATATATATATATATATATATATATATATATATTAGAATTGACATTTTTTACCCAAATCTTGTTGGGCAATGGGCATATGTATTTTGGGCCTATTTTTTTTCACGTTGAATCTGAAAATCAAGCCCATTTTTGCCCCCATCATATCACCTTTTTCAGTACAAAAAAATTCTATTTTGCTTAAAATAGGCCAACTCCTGAATAAGCCAAAGGCCCAACCAAGACCCTCCGAGTAGCTAGCTTGTTAGTGTATATATATATATATATATATATATATATATATATATATATATATATATATATATATATATATACTGACTTACATTTCAACCATCTTATCAATATCCATGAACTTTATCAAATGTAAAAGCCTTGATAAACCAATGAGATAATTGCTTTTTCTATATAAACGCGTGCAACAAAATAAATTCTACATTTGCCTTAATAAAGGCCATCGGAGGATGAAATGAGTAGGGTAAGAATAGTTTTTCCCTTTGTCTTTTTATTCATTTGGTTCTTTTACAGATACACTCAATCTCTGAAAATAATTTACACACACACACACACATATATTAATGTCATTTGTTTACGTTAAGATGCACTTCGAGCAGATATGATTTTTTGAGAAAGATCGCGGGAAATTCTTTGTTGAAAAACAGTAATGTGGATTTTTCTAAACAGACGCTTCCTCTGTACCAGAATGGTATAGCGCGTCAGGTCAAATGACGATTCCGTGTAGAATACAAATTCGATTCCTGTCGGAGGACACATATTTTCTACGAATTGCTTGGACATTCAGGACGGTAAATATAACTATTACTGTTTATTATAGACAGAGCATTTATTTAAATAATGATATCTATAAAATAACCTATAAAAAAAAATGTATTAAAATAATTATCTAACTTAGTCCATTTCATAATATATATATATATATATATATATATATATATATATATATATATAGATAGATAGATAGATAGATAGATAGATAGATAGATAGATAGATAGAGAGATATAAGATTAAAAAAAACACAAAAAAAAACCGTCGGTTGAGACAACGGATAAATTGCCAAATCCGAAAATGCTTATCTAGATAAAGCCTTGAATAAAAACGATAAAACAGAAAAAAAGAAAGAGAAAAAAAAATCAACTCCCCAGTAAAGTTAAATGCTAGAAGCCTAGATTGCCTAGACCGAGAAAAATACTTATTTTAAAAAAACATGCGAAAAAAAAAAATTATAAAATATTAGTTCATAAGTTTCAAAATTCTTTATTTCAAATTCATATTTTTCAGTTACGATATCAATGGAATTTTACAATTGATCAGAAAAATCTTCCGAGAGGCAATCACGTCGAGTATGTAATTGTCGGAACATGGGCTTCTTCTTATAAATAAATGACCAGAAAATTTTAGATAACCAAGGAATGTATCAGTAAATGACTTCAATTTTCACTTGTCGTCCCGTTGCATTTCCATTCGCTACTTATACGGCTGTAACAAAAAAACAAGAAAAAACAAGAGAATAATTATTTGTTTAAAATTTTTTACACAAGTTAAAAAACGTCAAATCAACGCGAAAATATTTATATATATATATATATATATATATATATATATATATATATATATATATATATATATATATATATATATTATAGTCCCGTTAATGAAAATTGAGAAATGAAAAATAACAATATTGGCGATACAATTGATGATATTTATTATGCATTAGCCTTTTTACTAAATTGAAACCTAAAGTAAAAATTTTTAAAGTCGGAATTTTCGGACACGCCTGTGTCCTTTTTCAACGAGACAAGGAATAAACAAAGAAATAGGACTCTTCTAAGGAATGTTCATGTTCTTAATTAAAAGGTTTCCTGTTGGAAACAATATTTTCTCTAAGTAAATACAAATCACTGTTTAATCATTGAATGTGTGATTTGGAAAATTTCTCTAATTACTTTCTTGGTGTTGAGTTTAAAATCTGTAACTCTGATCGTTATGGTAATTCTTGTAAACACGCTGAACACACTCTGTTATAATTATTTTAAAATTTAAAATTTATCTGTTGTAGTTTTTTTTTTTTTTGTAAACAAGCGTCCACAATGTAAGGGAGCTTATGATTATTAGTCTGCTTTTCTCCCTTTCTCAATACATTTTATGGACTTTGAGAGCCAGAAAACCAGTTACGGCATTTTTGTTAATGGTGTAGGCTGGAAGACAGAGCATATTAAATATTGTGATGCTAAACCCCATACAATAATATTGGGGCACCAGTGAAAATATCACCCTACACATTTTTTTTAATTAAAAAGGATTCCCTTTTTTAGCTAAACAGAATACGTCGAAATATGGACATAGGGATTAGTATTGCTGTGTTTGCCTCAAATAAAGTGCCTCAAGTCAATGTGGCATTGAACAGAACATGTTTCAGATTTTCTTACTTGGAACTATTTCCCTTTTTTTGCCATCAATTCCACAGCGCTTGTTTGGTTTTCATTGGAGCACTTTTATCTTCGATTCCAACCACAATGGTT